TTCTATAATAATTGTTCATGAACATTGGTATGGTAGCGCTTGGCAGTGTGAAAATCGAACATTTCTTCAGTAGCTTCAGCTTCGTTTGCAAAAAATTACAGATCGTTGCAGTGATTCTCAACTCTAGTGAACTGAAAAGACTGGTAATTATTGTTTGAAGCTATCTAAAGGAAGCCACGCAACCCGATAAGAAAATCCTTAATTGGAAATCCGAGCGAATAAAATCAACAAAGAAATAAGTAGTCCTTCAATAAAATAATTAGGAACATCTAATGATCCTCCGATTCCGATCTTTCGTTTGAGAAGCTCTATCACTATCTCACTCTTATTACTGAGACCTACCTATTTGCTGTTGTTTCTTTTACACATAAACCTAGAAGAAATGAAATATATACTGAAAGAAGGCAGTATAACAAACAAACAAATAATGACGATAAAAACAAGAAATCTAGAAATGATTTTAACAGACTGTATGCAAGTGTGATACTACCAGGTACCCTTACGAGGATAGTGTACAACTTTGCCTCTCTACAAAGGATGGTGTCGCCTATTGAAAGTTAGGTATAAATAGTGGTTTTATATCAGTTTTTATTTTCCAAATTCAAAAAGGAAGATTGAAGACCCATGTATTTGTGTTTCGAATGGATATGTGTTCTAAGAAAGGTACATCCATATTGAATAATTATACTGATTCAGGTTTTTTTCTTCAGGATACCCCAAAAACGATTCAAAATATTATTGATGCCTCAGAATCTTGTGTGGAAACACACTTTGGAGGGGAGTGAATAAATTTAGGCGTTGATAGAGTTAGGTTTTAACAGGAAAACATGATTCTGATTCACATTTTTCTCAGGATATTACTAAAATATTGTCGAATATCACAGAATTCTTATAACTTTGGTACCTGTTCCTGCAAGAATTCCCAGATTATAAAGATCTTCATTAACAATAATTCTCATATCATTCCTCAAATTCCTATCAAAATTTGTTTCCTCTTGGAACACTCATTTGTATGAGAACAGCTTCTGGCTTTTATCAAGTATTACATATTGAATTGAACAGTCGAAAATCTTAGTTCTATTCTTCTTCGAACATTCCTTCGTTAAAAAGCATCAGTCGGATAATTAGTCGACATTCAATTATGTGAGTGTATAGAATCACGACAGGTACCCTTACGAGGGAAGTGTATCAACTTTTGCGGTCGTAATGCCTCTCTATACAGGAGGGTGTCACCTATCAAGGGCAAGGTATGAATTGTGATTCATATCAGTTCTGAATTCGATGTGCACTATCAAATGGCTATTCAGTTCTTTTTTAATGGGTATGTGTTCTTGGGAAAGTTCGCTCAATTATGTTTTTGTGATCAATATTGAAGCAATCGCAAAAGAAATATCACTCCAATCCGTTTTTATTCCAGGATATTCCTGGAACAATGCAAATTATTATGGATTTCTGAGAATCTTGTATGGAAACACAATCCATACAATTTTCAGAATATTCTGGAATTCCGGAGCCTGTTTTTGCAAGAATTTCTAATTTTTTTGTAGGATAATTCACTTTAACTATCCTTTCCCGAAACCTCATTACAGGGAATGTTTCTCACAAGTATTTTTTGACTTCTCCTCCTATCCATCTGAGATATAGCAATTAATTAATGAGTATATCTATCACGACTCTTCAGCAATATTGATAAAGGGTTCAATTAATTTTTTTTAATTAAATGAGGGCATCTAATTGATTTCAATATCAGCAAGATTGCTGTTGGAGTGAGGAAAATATTCACTGGGTTTCATGAATAATTTCTCATTTGATATGTAAATTGCTTTAAGACGTGAAGGATTGCTCTTGTGTTTTCCTTGTCTCTCAGACTTATAGTGTGTCCTACTTCAGATGAAACCAAGAAATTAAACGATAAAAGATTTTTTTTGGGAAAATGTCTTCGCAGAAAATGGATAACTTATTGTTTCAAACATTTCAGTTTATAGTCTAGTTCATTATTATTTTCCTTTTAACATACAATAAACATAAGACATACGATAAAATATTATTGAAAAAATACAATACGACTGTGTTAATCACACGTTATCAGGCAATACAAATCCATTTATATTATAAAACGACTTATCTGCTAGAAATAGTTTGAGTCTACTTTTGCAGAGTATTAGGGAGTCACAAGACCTGATCTGTTCTGGCATAGACTACAACAACTTTGGGCCAAATATATTTGGGGAACATGAAGGAATATTCAGCCTTGTCTTTCTAATTCTGGTGTCACTTTAATGTCTTGTATTATGTTTGTGAACATCCATGTTTGATTACTAAGGATGTAGGTATGATTTAACAAACCTGATGACGTCATTTCCTCTCAGTAGAAACTCAAACGGTTTGATATTTGAAGGGTTGTTCGGTATAGATATTAAACGAAACCTTTCGTGAGATATATGCAAATATTTCCTCTGAATGATTTATCATTTCTGCTGGATAATCTCTTGTTAGGTACACAATTTTCTCAATTTCAGAACTTCGATTCGCATATAAAATACTGAGTAAAATTGCCTTCTGCTACTACACATTCCACTTAGATATTTCGAAATATCCTGATGTCAGGAAATCTGTTCCAATTACTGAATAATACAGGATTTTCTTATGATTTCTCTATTGTATTTCTCTTTTGTATTGAATGTCATACTTATTCACGTAACAAGTCCGGAAAATACACAATTCTAGGACAAGCCTTATATGTATAGGCGAGTCATGGAAGTCAATTTTTTCGTCAACCGTATAGAATAACAAATCAATGAGACACATCTCTTCAATATCTTTCTATGAAGAACAGAATTTCGAAAAGTTCATATCTTATTTATGTTGAATAGTGAAAGGAAATAATTGTGCTGTTGCAGCAACTGCCGTGAGGCACAATCCCAAATTCGCTATCGTGCTAATTTTCATAGTTTATTGCGATAATTGCGATTAAAAAACCATGCAAACTTCCATGAAAAAGAATGCTAACTAATTCTATGTCGAATAGATGTCAATTGTTATTTCGCTGCCAATGCCCATCATCATTTGAAACTGTTTCATCTCCATGTAAGTGAACTATTTTTTTTCTGATATGTTCGTTTCCACCATGTCTCTGTTTGTAGTTACTCCTGAGTTGGGCTGAAGATGGACTTCGAGTCCGAAACATGTCCCCTTGAAAAATTACATCAATGAAACTGTGGAGATGACTTTGAGCTCTCCTGCTTCTCTTCGAAATATTCCACAAATCTTCATTTATCCAAAAATGTGATGGTTAGAAAAACAGCATTATTTCAAGGTTTTCGAATAGACAAGTGGTAATCATGAATCTATTTGTCAACCTGAGTATCGATATGAAATCACAAATATAAAAATAAATGCATGTTCTGATAATGTCTAAATGTTCCATATGAATGCTCTCTCGATCAATTCTGATTTATTATTATTTTCGACTACTTCAACTGATTTTTCGATTTTATTTCAGTCTCAATATGATATTTTACAGGATAATGAGCAAAGCAGTTACATTTTTCAAAATCCTCCTCTTTGGAAGGCATATTTTTCCATTGTTTTCTTAGGCGAAAACATCGCACCATCTGTTATCTTGGAACCGTTCTGAAATTTCTGGAAATTTTACGCTCACTACTGAAATATGAATATTTTTGAAAGATAATGCAAAATGTGATGCTCTAATTGGCTGTGTGTTTCTGTCTTTCTGGTTCGATCTTTTGAAATAATGCATGAACAACATAATCATTGATACGGGGTGGTTCCTAGAAACAATTATGTTATATTATATTAACATATCAAAGGGCCAACTACTCCTGAAATTTTGAATGACAACCTCCAATTATTTCGCCATTTTTGAAATCCTGAATGTGATAAGACCTAGGTATTTCCAGTTTTTCATCTTCAAAATTGCAGTTCCCAACCTCACGAATACTGGGATTGTAATTCATTACAATAAAGAAAAAATTAATATACAGACCTCCCTGATTACTTTATGAATTGTTCAAAATGGTATTTAATGATTTGTGAGCAAAAGTACAGCCGATATTGAAACTGTTCACGGACCATTCGACAGAAGGTCTCTGGAATATCGGCTGTAATAGGTCGCGAATGTATTACATTGAAACACAACCTCACTTTTCTGTAAAACATTGAAAGACAACCTCAACTTTCTCATTTGTTTACAAAGAAATCAATTTATTGAAATAGTTTTTCACAATATTTTTGCATGCGAATCGTATTTTTTAGACTATTCATTAATTCTAGCATGCCATCACATTGTGCTGCTGTACAATGTACAATGCACAAAAAATGCAGCGACAGACGAAGGAATACGTTTTTTCAATTAAATAGTGCGTGCCATTATCGCATAATGACATGATATAACATTGGAGAAATGGTAAGTGCGGGTGAGTCAGAAATATGTCGACATACACACTTTTCATTCTACGCGTTATCTCAAGGTGAACAGTTTACATTGAGCTCTGTTTCAAAGTGCAACCTGTTTGAGATACTATTCGTTGAATATGTGAATAAAACTGAGCATTACAGGTGAAGTATCAATAAGCCTAACTGATGTCACAACACCTATTTGATATTTCATCTGTCAAAGAAAGAATGTGAAGCAAAATGTTGTGATATATGATCGTCACTTTGCCATTAGTGATCAGAATTGAAAAATGAAAACTCCATTATTTTATCTACATTGATTAATCTGGAATAGGATACCAGGTTTGAATTTTTTCCCTTCACGGGTTCCGAAGAAAATTAGATAAACCTTGATTTTATTCGTAAGTTTGACACTTTGTATCTCAAAGAGGATGCATTCAAGGACATTACTTGATGATAACTTCTCACTCCATAGGTAATGAATCCGTATACGAAGTTTGTCGGTTTTATTCCGATTCACTCTGAAAAGAAAAATTGATGACATTTTTTCATTATGTCTCTCAATATTGAATTAAAAATAACTATAATCAGCTAATGGACTGTTTGATATTCCCTGTGCACCGATCTCAAGAACTGAAAACCGAGTAGCAATAAAGCTGATCCCAATAAATCCCCGAAAGCCGTCAAGTAGGGTATTGCGGAATTATCTGGATCGATTTCATTCTTCCACATCAAGTGCACCATGATGTGGCATACGTAGAGTAGAATCATGATCTGGATGAGTCCCACACTGAGATAGGTGAGAACGAAGACCGCAGAAACAGTCGAGCTCCCGTTGTAAATGGCGTCAGCAGCGAATACGAAGAGAGTATGTCCGGGAAGTGAGATCAGGATCAGAAGTCTGGCAGTTTTCGCTGGGTACACTGTAAGCAATTCGAAATATTGTTAGGACTTGTCCTTTCTTGGTGGTGGTGGGGGGATTTCTAAGGTAAGGCCCTGCCTACTCCATACCATAAGCTCCGCCCCTTTGAACCCCAGTAGTGAGGGAGTGCTTTGGTAACTCCGTTACTACTACTGAGGGTGTGAAGTGCGGACAAGCGAGTACATGTATGAGGACGAATCCCATGATTTATATCCAAAATAGCGGATTTCAGACACTGAAGTGCAATATATTTGATTTTTTCTTACCTCCTTTGATTAAGGCAGACCATGGCCCTGCAAATATTTTCGTATTGGTCGGTATCATTCCGAATATTGAGGTTTTGTGTAACATTGTTGAGGTACGACTGGCATGTACCGAGACCAGATTTCCACCAATACCGTTTATGATTGGTTGGAATATTGCGTAACCGTTAAATACATCCACTGCCAGGTCCAGAATCATACCCCCAGATCTGGAAAATAAGGAAAAATAAAATGATTGATGAATCTCAATTATGCAATTTTGATGACATCAAAGATGAATATATCAGTAGAAAACATTTGAACAACAACTGTAAATCGCATACCCACTCACAATACCCTGTTTTACAACTAACCAACGAAGCAGTTTTATTGCAACGCCTCGACATGTGTTTCGGTTCCTATGTTATCATCTTCAGGAGAAGGTTCGTTGATCTGACATGTCGAAATTTCAAGAAATCTGTTTGGTAAGTGGTGAAACAATGTATTGTGACTATCGTAATGTTCCAGTATTCGATATATACATACCCACTTATTATCAAGGCCAATATAACTGGTGTCCAGCCGTGACTGAGAACTTTACTGGTATATTCATTTTCTTTGACGTATATGACCCACACAGGCAATAATACCACTAAATACATTGCAAGAATCAGACCTATTGCCCAGGCGAAATCATCTGAAAATCAACTAATGAAGTTCAAGAGATTCAAACAGAAATTCGAAAAAGTCGTAGGTAGCGATCAAATAAAAAATAACTTGACTTAGTGTTGGTGCACACTATGCATGGTATGCTTCGTAAATATTGTGAGTATACCTACACCTACCGGGTATCTCCGTTTTCTCTCTATTAATAAGAGATAAAAGCTTTCTCCATATCATCACCATCATTATAGTTCAGTTAGCAATAAGTAAGTTTTATTTGATCGCTAGATATATATCACCTAGTAAATCGAAAAGATAGTTGGCAAATATTGAAAAAACTATCAATGAGACTACATCTCCGATACTAGCTGCCATAGGTGTTGCCAAATTATCCGGATTCCAATTGATTTTTCGAGAAAATAGGATCATAACGATCAATGCCAAATCTACAAAAACAAACTTTTTTAATTAGCTGTTTATTCAAATTATGGTTTTTTGTTACCTAAAACAAAACATGATATTGTTGCTGATAGGACACTGGATGTTATGACTAGTAACGTATAAGACCAACTAAAAGTATTTTTGATCACAGCTGATGCTGCTATTGCATATATAGAAGCTATGCACGAAGCTACTATCGCTTGGATCTGTAAATATAAAAACATTAGTGATCGACATAATCAGATTCATGTACCTATAAATATCAAAACATTGTCTCAGGAGGCATTGGAATTGGAAAAAACATGTAGTCATTACCAAAAATGTTGTCACGTTATTTATTGTAACATATCAAAATATTTATAGACTCACTTGAACCAGCAGAACATTTCCGAAGATCATCTTCAACATATCGTTTTTACTCTTCATATGTCCCAAATTAGCTTGTGTAGATAGCCTTGATGCAAGGCACATATCTAAATTTCCTTTCAAACCCAGAAGGGCAGGAACCAAGATGAATAAAGTCTTCACCTCTTGGAAAACTGCTTGTTTCTGCAATGATTATGGTGATTCACGATATGTCGAACAGCACAAAACTAGTTTCTCCATAGAATGGCAAAGCTCTGGAATTTATTGCCTGAGGAACTATTTCCAAGAACTCATAATCTCCAAAAGTTTTAAAAAAATCCCAACTCCTATCTTCTTCCCCTATCTTTTCTAGGTACGCACCATGTTCTTCGAACATCATAGGAATTTCCTTTCGTGCGCGCCTAGAGATAAAAAAATACCAGAGGTACTCACACAAAACACAAGCATTTATGATAACCATGAACCATATCACAAAAGAACTGCAGACCTGCTAACTTTGAGCTGCAACCAACTGTGTAGAGAGGGAAGTATTTTTTTATCTCTTGGAGCGGACAAAATGGAATCCCTATATTTTTTGAAAAACATCATGCGAACCTAAGGAGGATAGGAAGAGGAGGTAGTTATTGGAATGTTTTCGAACTTTTGAGATGATAAGTTCATGTGAGTACTTTACCGTTCTAGTATTGCTAATATGATGGATTGATATCAGAAATTTCAGGACATGGAAGTATCTATAGAAAAGTGAAAGGTCGCTGATCCTTCTACGGTGTTCCGAAGATGTCAAAGAATTAGTGAGTGTGGCATTACCCACCAGGTGAATGGATCTTCTCTGGATGGAATCAAGAGCATCAGCGTATGTTTGAGTGCTGAGCCCCATATGTGGGAACTGTATTCTAGAACAAGCCGTGTAGTATGAGCAGATAAACTTGGTGAGGAAGGAGTTCAAACACTGTCTGTAGGATATAATAAGCAGCGGAACTGAAGTAGAATGAATCGAGGAAGAAGTTAAACAAACAGATCAGCGACTGGAAGAAATCATCAAAGTTGAGATACAAAAAAAGGACTTTCATTCCTGCATGGTCGTCCCGACTATATCCATGATGGATGGACGTCCCGACTATATCCATCATGGATGGACATCCCTTAAACAGAATTTCTTGGACGTTCTTATACAGAAGAAGGAGACATGATAGATTTTTCGGGTCGCAGTACACTGAGGGAAAAAATTTGTAGCCGTTACTAAAAAATTAGTAACTACAGAAAAATTTTTTAGTACGATAGGGGACAGCAAGCATTAGTTGTTGCCATAACTAATTCTGTTTTTCTGGAAACGCCTATTTGCCTCTAATGAAAAGTTTAGTTGAGTCATCTACGACGTTGTTGTGGTAACTTATAATAAGCCTTTTTAAGGAATAATACCAAATTTTATTTGCCACAATCAAGATACATAGTTATGACAATTAGATTGTTGGTACTGTTTCAATATATGTTTGTTATCACAACAAATTATCCCAGTTGGGGCAATTACTCATTTCTTCTGACGTTAATAGTGAGTGTGTTGTTGCAAATTAAATATTTAAATGTGACTGAAATGGAATCTAGTTACTATTAAAAGTGATTTAGTAACGTTTGAAATATAATTTAGTTATTCCGGCAACTTAATAGTTTTATATCAATTAAAATCAAGGCCCCGTTCTAATAACAGTTTATATGCCATTTTCCTTCCAATTTCCAATGGAATCGTGAACAGGAATACACCACACACCGTAAGTGCCACAGGTCACAGCTCAGCAAAAAGAGAGAAAGAGAGGGAATTATAAATATACACCGTGTACACGTGACGTCGGTTGGACGTTTCTCACCGTCGCCCGTCGTAAACTGAACTGAATTGTGAATAGGTACCTAAACCTGATAACTAGTGACGCACAGATAACGATGGTAAACTGCGAATTATTATTTTGCCAACCAAATGCCAAATGGCTCGGCGCGAAGTGCAAAAAAACACAAAACAGTGATTTGAAAACACACAGAGCAGTGAACCAGCAAGAACACGACGCTCCCGGCTACATTAGACAATTATTTTATTTATTTTGTCTAAGCTCGACGACCGTGCGATCTATCCACTATCAAGATACAAGATACAAGTTCAAATGATGAAACAGAAAGACAAACAGATGCAAGATGCAATTTTTGCCGGTGGGTCCCGAAGAGACGCGAGGCGGTCCCGAACGACGCAGTACAACTAAAATTATTAGTTATGGCTAAACAATTTCTGCTATGAATAATAATAAACCAATATGAAATTTTAATTGACTGAATAGACAACACTGTGATAATTCTGTCACAAATAGTATTTTTATTGATGACAAATAATTGGCGAAAAATAGAAAAGTCATTTGTAGGAAATAAGGATACGTTGTCATTGTTATTAAAATTCCAAATATTTTTAATTATCGGTACTAAAAAATTACCAACTAGACGTTTTAATTAACCAGTTTTTCTCAATGTAGATTCCCCAAGCGTATAAACGCTAAACAGGGGTTTACCATCTATTGACTTTTTTTCATCTCTGGAGCGCCCGAAAGGAAATTCCTATGATAATTACCAGTACTCACTGAAACGTAGGCCATAACTAATCCAGCTGCGGTTGTACCAACCCCAGCAATTAGAAAAGGTATAGATACTTGAATGATGACATGGTACCATTTTTCTGTTCGAGTTTTGGCCTGCTGCTTTATATTTTTCGAAAACGCCACATTGGTAGAGATTGGTTCAATGTTGTCAAAACCTTGAATCAAAGTGCCCATGATTAATCGAAATAGTGATTTACGTAACATCCGGAAAATAAAGCCAAGACGTAGGCGAGTCCTGGAAGTCTGCGAGTCCAAAAAAACTCTTCTTGGACGTGTTGCGTGCATTATTGTTTATGGCAACCATGTAGGATAACAAATCAATGAGACACATTTCCATAATATATTTCTTTGTGGAATACAATTTCTTCTTTAATAATTCTCATTTGTATTAAATACTGAAATTTGAACAGAATACCTATTACCTACTAACAGTTACATTGGAAATTTCGTATGGACATTCTCAAACTCACTATCGCAGCTGCTTTCGATAGTTTATTGCGATAATTGCAACAAAGCTTTAAAAAAAAATCAAAATGTCAACTAATTTCATATCAAATAGCTGTCAGTCGATATTTCGCTGCTATGGCTATTATCATCTGCATTCATCAAAACCTTATCTATCGAGATTTTCATAGTGACAGTGACAACAATGGTGTGATACTTCCCGGACTATGCCGGAATAATGCTACTTTTTCAAAGAAAATGCGTCCGGGAAGTGAGCACATCAGCCGAAATCATAAATTTGCAATTTCTATCCCCAATTTACCTCCCAGCAGGTATCGAATATCCATACAGGGTATCAATTAAATGAGTGCCCACAATCCTCGAGTGATTTCAGGGAGAAAATTTCATATCAACATAATATCCTAATCCTCCTCCAGAGGCGTACAGTTTTTATTCAATCAAAACATTCAATATCAGGCCTACGTGAACATCACTGGTAAAAGTGAAAATTTTACTTCCGTCCCAAAACAAAATGTATTTCCACTCATAGTGTGGGTGCCTACTCTACCTACTAACAATCTCAATGAACTGAAGAAATCAGAGTTTTTGGTTTTAATTTCTTTAAGCAAAAACGGTACGTCGTATTGAGGTACTTTTGGTTTTTTCTACAGAAATTGTCAGTTCAAACCCCGAACAGACGCTACTGGAGAAAATTTCAAAATATCTGTCACGTCAAAAAATTATTCTTAATGGGGAACATTTCATAAGAATATCTGAGAGTAATAAAAAATTATGATGAGGAATCTTAATCTTGGAATTTCAACACCTTGTAGGTTACAAAATAAGAGGTTTAGAACATATTTTGATACAAACTTTCATTCTTAAAATCACCCAATGATTCACACCTTATATATTATCGACACTCAATCACTCAACACCCTGTATAACATGGCAGAATTTAGAGACTTATACAAGGTGGGTAACGGTCGATGGTCGATCTGAAATATTTTCAGGAATGCCGAAAGTAGTAGCCACTTTGATATCTCAAATGGAGCACCCTGTATTTCATCGCATTTTTAGATTCTCCCTGAAGAGCTGATTCATCAATGTGTCACACTTGGGGTCTAGCAAGATTTTTTGTTATCGAAACCATTAATTATCGGTCAAAACGGCTTGCTATCTAATGACATTTAATTGGAACAAATAGAGGGTGATTCAAGATTCAGAATTATGATCACCATGAATCCGTACCAATCAAATGTCAGTATATAGTAAATCGAAAGTTATGATAGGAGCACGGAAGCCGTTTTGACCGTTAATGCATATTTTCGACACCAAAAATCACTGTCATTTGTCCTGTTATTCTGTCAACGTCTGTTGCTATGCTTGACACTTCGTTGCCTTCTCCTTGGCTTTTGTCTTTCACAAAAATGGCCATTTTAAGATGAAACTCCTTTGAGTGAATTATTGCTGGTTTTTTCCCTATTTTTTGCCAATGTTGAATGATTGTTGGGTTCTTTTGGCTAATCAGTCGGTTCAAAAAGTATTATTATTTTTACCGGATTGAATTTTTGGCCAAATGACCCTACGAATCACATTTCAATTCAATTAATTATGTGATTTCACGTGTCCTATTATAGGTATGTTTTTTCCTCAATATGTTATATTATTCTTGTAAACCAATATCTTTACAGGTACTGTATATTGTGTCTGAAGATGGCTGCTTGAGCCGAAACTAGTCACAAAAAGTAAAACTTTTGTAATTAAACTTTGTGGTCGACCGACTTAGTGTTTTGTTTTTTTCTTTGAAAAATCCTAAAGTTGAAAAACCTCGATTTTGAACTCTGTATATCTCTGTAATCATTTCCGCTACACCCCCATTGATGAAATCAGCTCTTCAGGGCTGAAAATGCAATGAAATACAGGGTGTTTCAATTCAAAAAGATAGAGTTCCGACTACTTTCTGGTATAAGCGGCAACGCTGCATTGCTGAAAACATTTGCAATCGCAGCGCCATAGTGGCCGGTTATGGTATTATATGAAAGTACATTGTTTTGAAATGGTTCATTTGCTCGTATGTATTATTTCGACTTTTCAATAGTGAATTGAGCAAAGAAAACTGTCTATTTGTATACTCTTGTGATGCCAGGGATCTTTTCAGCAGATATTCGTTCAATAAAGTAGTTTTCACTACTAAAAATACATGAGATTTGCAAAATGAAAATGCTCTTGATTGAGGTTACGTTAGTTGGCACTTCATTTCCATTCAGTAGTAAAATTAATATTACAAATTGAGTGAAGTGAATATGATGAAGTAGGTATTTGAGGTGTATGTATTGTAGTCGATTTATTTACTTGAATGTGTTCATGAAAGAGAAACAGTCCTTCGAACTGAACGAATCTGCGAATTATTGATCTACCTAGTAGGAAAATTGAACACATGTACTTTGTTTTGGAGTAAGGATTTAAGTTTTTTAAACTCCCACTGTAACTTTTCACTTCTGGGAATAAAATGCAACTGAATTCAATCTCGAACTTGGGATAAAATCTTTCAATTATACAATGATTGAAATTATAATTCTCTGTGAAATACGGTGAGAAAACTTCCATGAATAACATGTGAAACAGAGCAATAACGATTTGATACTCTACTGAAGAATTCAAACCTGCAAAATACACTCAGTTCCAAAAAAAGTGACGCACTTGATATTTGACCCATCTTCTTAAAAAAAAAAAAAAAAAATAGTAGGCCGATTTTTAATTATTTTTCAATTGTTGGTAGGTAATGCATTTGTCTTGAAAAAAAAATAAAGAGGTGAAAATGTTTTCAAAGCCTCCTTGATGGTGGTGGAATAACTCAAACCATGATTTATTCTTAATATTTGACTCACCTTGTGTGTTAATTGAGTGATGACATAGAAAGTGCTTGAACCCTATACGAAAGAGGCTTCTTTTGTGAGCATTTTGTTTTTTATTCATTGATTTATCTCTAAAATTTTCCGAATTACAGCTTTTTCTGCTGAATCCTTGCAGATTACCAACTTTCTGAATTTATCGAGAAACAATTTTCTAATGAAATAAACTGATACCAAAATTTTAAAAAACATTTTTATTAAACACAAAATTAATAATTGGGATGACTGCTTAATACCGTGTATTGCCTCCTCAAGCAACTCTAAGAACTTTTAATCTACGAGGCTTATTGGAAATTAAGTTGCTTATCGTTTCCATTGGTATACGATCCCATTCTTCCACTAATGCATCTGCCATTTCTGCGAGACTTTCCGGGGACCACTCGCGAGAACGTACCCTTTCCCTAATTCATCCCACAAATGTTCTATAGGATTCATATCGGGGTAATACCAGTAGCTTCTAAGAAGTTTCGCACTATTGCTGCGGTGTGTGGTCGGGCATTATCCTGCATCAATATAAAATTATTGCCCACTAACTCTGCCCAAGGTAAGACATACTGCTCTAAAATGTCAATGTAAATTTGGGCATTCATCGACTGCCTCACCGGAAAAACATGAAGGGGTGTCTTTCCATTCATTGAAATCCCTCCCCACACCATAACGGACCCACTATTAAAACTCTCGCATTCCGTTATTAAATTTGATTAAACCGTTCAACAGTTCTTCTCCACACTCTTTTTCTTCCATCCACCATGTTAAGGCAAAACCTTGACTCATCCGTAAACAAGACATTCGACCATTCAGGAATATTCAACTTTCCATAATTTTCAACAAAATTTCTTCAGGCAGCACGATGTTCGGGCAATAATTTGGGACCTTCTGCAGGTCTCCTAGCTTTCAAATTAACTTCTCTTAGACGTCTACATACCGTCTGCTTACTCATTGCAACATCACGAATTTAGCGAAGATCTTGCTGAACATTTACCGCAGTATTTGATCGATTCCGTAAAATCCGCAATCTCAAGAAGCGATCATCTCTTGGAGAAGTTTTTCCGGGGCGACCAGAACCGACCCTCCGAGCGGTGCTACCTGTTTGTTCGTACTTGCGGATTGCTCTACGAGCAGTTGCTTCATGAACGCCCACTGCACGAGCGGCGTAACGTTTACTACGCCCATCGTTTACTAACGTAACTAATCTTGCTACTTGATCAGGATTCATTTGAGGAATTTTATGTAATTTTAGTCAATATAACAAGACACATAATTAATGACACAACGACAAATGGTCAAATATGGAGGCATACAACAAATTAGTTGATATGGCAACGGCATTTGTTTTTTTAAAGACACTGTGATCCTACCAGAGTACAACCCAATCAATTTTGAGTACTCTGATCCTTCAATAAATTCAATTTGTGGGATAAGCGTAAGGTATCAGCAAAAAAGCTGTAATTCGGAAAATTTTAGCGATAAATCCGAGGATAAATCAATGAATAAAAAAACAAAATGCCATTACTCAATTAACACAAGGGAGTCAAAAATTAAGAATAAATCATGGTTCGAGTCATTCCACCAACATCAAGGAGGCTTTGAAAAATTTTTCACCTCTTTATTTTTATTTAAGAAAAAATGCATTACCTATCTAACAAATAAAAAAAAATCGGTCTACTATTTTTTTTTTCAAGAAGATAGGTCAAATATCAAGTGCGTCACTTTCTTTGGAACTGAGTGTATTATAATATAATATACAAGCAACTACTTGAGTAACCAAATTTTCTCCGTCAACGTCTAAGGTTCCATCGACCGTAACCCACTCTGTATAATTAATGGTTGCTCAATATTGTCTCTAGTTTTGATGTTTCATAATGCATTTTCTGCTTAGTAATGATATGTGAATCTCTTACATTTGACTGGAATCCCCTGCTAAATAAGTGCAAATATGATGAGTAGCTCGATGAAATTACTCAAGTTTCCGTTAGTATGGTAATAATGTAAATTTTATATGAATATGTATTCAGGTTTTGATATAATAAACAACGTCATTAATACGGGGATATTTCTTGAGCGATATTTTGCTACAACAATATATAAATTTGAATAATTCCGGAGAGAATTTGATAAAATATACATGTGAAATGTTGGCTCATATAGAAGATACACAAGTTAAAACCCATTCACATCACCTAATAATCAGATATTTGTTTTACCTTGAATTGTATACACTTCCATGTCCAAATTTGAGATCTTATGGCAAACCTTTTATTTTGGCACAACTTTATACAATTCTCACGAAGTCACATTTTTCATTCATGAAATTATACAGTAGGTAACTCCGAAATTATGTCAGTACCACACCTGGAATTAATTATATTATTCTTCATACACTTGCTATAACGACAGCTTTTTATAAAGTACCCTTTACTTATATGTATACTTACCTTCTGAATACGTGTAGCCAATTATCACTTGATACATCGAATGAACCCTTGTTACCACATGTTTCAATCTTTATAAACCCCACTATATACGCCCTCAGACAAAATTATTTTTCAAATAACTCTTGCATCAAGTAGGTATATGAAGCCTACTGAAAAAAAAATATGAACATAATTAACGAACGTCTTCTTCTGATAAAATAAACCAGGGAAAAACTATCACTATTACAATACCTACGTTAGAACTGATAAAGGCTGAATCATTAAAAACCTCATTTACATACCATGATTATTATAGAAACTATTTCGAGAAAATCCTAGACCTTTGGGAAAATTGAATATAATGAAAATGGCGATTTTAGAATTGATTGGAAAAATGTGATTTCCATTTTTGCGAAACGGAGTTTGCTTAGATCTTTGGTTCGAGTATCATATTAAGTACCATCACCATCATCACTTCTCATCCATATACTTATACTCGTAGTTACACACTGAAAAGCAACATCTCTTACTATAACCAGCAAATTATGCTTCACTCCTAGATATGGTTTGTTTATATTCAGTGAAATAAATATTTCCCTATTACGCGACATTTATACATGGTGTTCCGAAAAGATAACGATATACTCCAAGGAGTGATAGCATCAAAAACTTCAAAAAAAGCATTTTTGTTTTAGTAAACATATACAGGGTGGCCCACGGTCGATGGTACCTTAGACGTATACGGAAAACGGTACATTGGATTATCTTGAAAATTCGGTTACTCTAATAAGCGTTTGTGATCTAACGATTCAAAATATTTTCAGCGAAGCAGCGTTGCCACTTTTACCAAAAAGTAGCATCATCTTTGTTATTTCAAATGGAACACCCTGTATTTCATTGCGTTTTTAGATTCTTCTTGAAGAGATGATTTCATCAATGTATCACACTTGGGTTCTAGCAGGAATTATTACAGAGATATAGGGTGTTCAAAATCGAAATTTTTCAATTTTAGGATTTTTTTTGTGTCGAAACTATTCATCATTGGTCAAAACGGCTTGCATGTCCCTATATCAACTTTTGATTAACTATCTACCGACATTTAATTGAAAAAAATACAGGATGGTACAAGATTCAGAATTTTGATCACCCTGTATCTGTTCCAATTAAATGTCAGTAGATAGTGAATCAAAAGTTAAGATAGGGACATGTAAGCCGTTTTGATCGATAATGTATAGTTTCGACACAAAAAATTCCTGAAATAGAAAAATCTCGATTTTGAACACCCTATATCTCTGTAATAATTCCTGCTAGACCCCAAGTGTGATACATTGATGAAATCAGCTCTTCTAGAGGAATCTAAAAACGCAATGAAATACAGGGTGTTTCTTTTGAAATAACAAAGATGATGCTACTTTTTGGTAAAAGTGGCAACGCTGCATCGCTGAAAATATTTTGAATCGTTAGATCACAAACGCTTATTAGAGTAACCAAATTTTCAGGATAATCCAATGTACCGTTTTCTGTATACGTCTAAGGTACCATCGACCGTGGGCCACCCTGTATATGTCTGCAAATGGGCAGTAGAGCAAAAGACTGTTGAATACTGATTATATTGAATGATAACTAAATCACTGTTTTACTGGTTTGAAAATTCATTTTATCATTCAAATCAGGTTCGTTGTGATCCGAAAACCATGGGCAAACAGCCAACCAGTGTGGATAATCTCCAGGATTTAAAGCTTGTACGCGTTGTGAATGAAAAGGGAAGAGAAGTTGTTCCTGAAGAACTCTGTGTACCGTCATCTTAGAGAACCTCATATGGTGTGCAATTGCACGGACACTTGTAGGTAGATTGGTTTTCTTCCACGCGGTGTAAAGCTTCTTCAAATTGAACTGTACGAGCTGTTCTTGGGCGACAGCTCCACCACGATGTCTCAGTGTTCCAGTACCTTTAAGACAGCGATGGATAGAAGCTACAACGATAGCAGCTTCTCTGGAATTGCACAAGGCTCCAATGTACAGCCCACCGGTGTGGATAATCTTCAGGATTTGAAGCTTGTACGTGTTGTGAATTGAAAGGGTAGAGGAGCTGTTCTTGAAGAACTCTGTGTACCGTCATCCTAGAGGACCTCATATGGTGTGCAATTACACGAACACTTGTATAGGTAGATTGGTTTTCTTCCATACGGTGTAAAACTTCTTCAAATTGAACTGTACGAGCTGTTCTTGGGCGACAGCTCCACGATGTCTTAGTGTTCCAGTACCTTCAAGACGGCGATAGATAGGCGCACAGTTTAGGGTATATTGAATTATTCCCTGAACTGTGATAGAAGGTACAAGCGATAGTAGCTTCTTTTGAATTGCCCAGAGCTCCAACATAAGCCAGGTGCATATCGGCAAATTCTTCAAATGGAGAATTATTCGCCATTTCAAATGGAAATTTTCAATTGATAGATTACCTACTAAGTTGATATATCGAAGACTGGAACCTTTGGCACGATAATACACGATGATACACTACACACGTGTTTCGCTAACTATGTTAGCATCCTCAGGAGAAGATTAAATTTAAAAACAGTTTTAATCATCTCCTGAAAATGCTAACATAGTTAGCGAAACACGTGTCAAGGTGTAAAAACAATCGATTTGGTTAACTGTTGACCATGATACTAAAACCAAGAGAATGGTAAGCTCACGCGTATATTCATTTCCTGTCTCTCTCGCACCGCATACGTCACCACGTGACAAATTTTGGCTGGCGCGGTACATGAACGCGGTGTTTGTGGTATTTTTACATCAGTTTGGTTTGATTTTTTTCAACAAACGATGGTTTATTGTGCTGTGGTGGGTTGTTCGAGTAACAACAATAAAAAGAGCAAAAACTCTACCAGTTACCGATTCTTCACTTTTCCAAAATCCAAAGAAATTTGCAATGTATGAGTTCAGAAATGTTACCAGAAGCATACATTCAACATAAAAACTGCTAGAATATGTTCCCAGCATTTTTCAGATGATGATATCCGATTGAGAGAAAAACTTTTGAAATTGTCAATGAATAAATGGAAATTGAAAACTGATGCCATACCATCACTTAACCTCCCAAAAACACCAAACCTGAAACAAAATTACAGGACAATCGTGATAGAAGAAATAAAAAGAGGTTTTTGAAAAAAAACGTACATACCGTGTATTATATACTTATAAATGCGGGTAGTTTTATTCATATTCTTTTAGTTTGAGCTCATTGTAGGGTTTCAGTACTTTGAATTATTTTACTGGGATTTAGATTTGAGTAGAAGTATAGGGCTCTTGGAAATACTAATAAACAATTTTAGTATCATGGTGGTAGACAGTGTGTATTGAACTAGGTTGATGTTATAAGGGAAAATAACGACACATAATAAATGTTCAAACAATCCCAATGTAGGAATTTTCGGAATGTTCATAATGATGATAAATACAAGTTTTTGCAGCTCGTTGCCAACTAAATAAAAACCGAGTAAAGAAATACTTCTTCAATTATTTGCGTATAATTCAAACAGTTCTCTTTGCTCTGAAGCACGGCTCGTTTGCAGACATGTTAACATGAACAAAATAATGCTTGTTTTGATGTCCCCTATGACCCTTTAAAGTTTGTCGGTATCTTTTCGAGACACCCTGTATTACAAAAAAAATTTGAATAATCTTAATGCACTATAAATAAATGTAGAAAGTTCACATTCATTTCCACACAGTGTTCATAAAATGAACAACAATGGTAGATTTCGGGAGAAAAACAACTACTTCCCTGGCTAATGCCACGCAGGATATTGAATTACATCCTCCCGAAATCTATGCATCGACTGATACAAGTGTTTCTTTCCTGAATGCCATATTACGCCAGTCGGGCTGCCAGCCACTCCCGTATGGGAATTTCAGTTTTGGAGTGATTCTTTCCTCGGTTCTACTCAGATGGCGTTACTTTCATTTTATCGATGAAAGACGCCTCGGGGTGGATATAATGCCAAATTAATTTTTTTCGCTGAGTCGGCGGTCTTAGGACTGCTGGCTGGAGACTACACTGCACTGATGAGAGTCAAAGAGCTCGAAACCGGTCCGTGGTTGTCTAGCGGCCTGGCTTAATCGAAATCAATAGGCATTCAGGAAGGGATCACTAGAGGTAGCGATAGTGGCCAAAAATTGACTATCGATAGCGGACATGTCGACTATCGAAACTATCGATAAACTATCGATAGTTTAGTTATGAAAAAGCTCGACTATGTGATTAAATTTTAATAAAAATATCAACAGTACATACAGGTACAGGTACGTATCAGGTACGTATATCCGTGGAACTTGAAACTATATATGAAATCCTCAAAAACAAAATGAGAACATAATCATTTCTTCACAGTTTTAAAGGAATTTCAGTTTCATAGTTAACAGTCTTGTCTAAGGGTTAGAATTATCCGATAAACGAAAATAAAAATGGTTCCATTAGATGAACCCTCTTCAACAATAGGAAAACAAAAGAAAAACAAATTTCAATTTGTTTCTCTACGGTTAAACCTATTCACTATAATATGTGAGTTATAATTAAAAAATTCTTCTTCTTCGTCATTCTGAATGCTCTCGATTAATGAAACCATGCATATATTTCCTTCTTCTGATTTTTTTCTTGGTTTTTACTTTTCTAGCTTCTTGCGATACTAATTTCACCTACAGGCCACTTGATGGCCACACTCGACAGTGTACACGACTATCGCGACTATCGGAGTGTAACTATCGAAACTACCGATGTTTAGATAGTTTTAAAACTATCTACACTATCGATAACATCGCTACCTCTAAGAATCACTTGTATCAGTATTCGTTTAAACGAGTCGATGCATAGATTTCGGGAGGATGTAATTCAAATCCTGCGTGGCATAAGCCAGGGAAGTACTTGTTTTTCTCCCGGAATCTACCATTGTTGTTCATTTCATGAACACTGTGTGGAAATGGCTGTGAGCTTTTTACATTTATTTAACATTTCATTCCACTGTGAGCATTGTGGCTATTTCGTAGTTCTTAATGCACTATGTTTGAACATACTCCTATTTACTATCAATTACCCATGATGCATGAAAAATGGCCAATGGTTATTAATTTTCCTATGTATACGTTGAGGGATTGAATGTTGTCCATCCAGCTAGCTATCATGTATTCATATCATTATCTTCAAATCATTAAACTTAGCGGAACAAATTATTGATGTGTGGCTTGCTGGCTTGGGATTTCCAATTGAGCTTCCACATCGATCAGATGTCTGATCCAGCCTATTGGTAGGTATTTCAATTAAAACTGATAAGCTAATAGTGGTTGCATCATTATCAGTTCAGGTTACAATTTCCAATAGCTATATGGCAACTATGAGATACGCTAGCTTTGTGATCATATAGGATGGTAACAGAAAAATAACACGAGCAGAGTTATCCC